GTAACATATATCATCACATTTTTATATTAGTGCTACCAGTATTACAACATTAATATTCTAACTTATCTGTAACATTTGAACTTTTGATTTAGTGCGATATTTTGTACTGCCATTAGGGACTGCCAGTGAATGGCTGTTTTATTCTTTTTATTCTGACAGTGTATGATTTCTATTAACATTACAGAATAGAACATGATCAATATTATCTTTCAATGTTCAATTTAAATAATTGTAATTGCACAAACTATGTAGGCTACAATTTCAATTTGTTTATTGTGAAATAACTCAAACATTTGTTTTTTTTTCTGTCCTCTGATAAGCATTGTTCAGGGCTGCCATTCCCAAAATCTTTAATGCTTTCTTATGATACTTTTGGGAAAAGCAGCCCTGTTTGAATGCACTGTCAGCAGTGAGTGAATGCTCTCTGTGATTGCTCAACATTTGCGTGTGTTCAGATGAGCAGGAAAATAGTTCTATCCTACACAATTACTCGCTAACAAAGGTTATTCGTCCAATTCAATGCATATTGTACGCATTATTATTATTATTTTTGTTAAATAAACAAAACCACTGGTAAATAAAACGCACCTGAGTATCGATACTTTCGATACTCGCGTCAGTATCGATATATCGATACTTCGGATCGATACACCCATCCCTAGAACGCCATCGATGAAGGATTTATCAATGGAAGATTTACAAGTTTAAGTTTAATTTCTGAATGAAATTAACCAGATATGATAGTTAGTTAGTTTTGTAGGCTGTTTTGTCCCAGCAAAACAGTATATTAAAAGTATATTAAAATTTTGCAGGTTATCACAGACTGTGTATACTAAGTTTCTGTGGCAAAAACATATAAACAAACTAATATTTAATGCTGGGTGAGAACTTCGCTGGTACTTCACCAGCAGTCATATTCAGTGTTATTTGTCTTTCTAAATGCCCATTAACTTCAACTAAATTCGTCCTTGAAGATGTCTTATTTCCAGGCCTGTTGCCTCATACATATTGTAGATTGTATACTTGGGTATATAGTTCAATTATGTGGTAAATTATGGGCTTGTGCAGTTTTAATGTGTTGACAATCATGATTTAGGTTATTTTGAGAGGATTAAAACAGATATTGTTTCTAAATACCATTAATTTCTGAATCATCATCATCAAATGTGAATAAAAAACAAATATGATTTAAGGATTACAGATTTGTTTTATTTCCAGTAGTACAAATGACATTTCACAGTTGAAATTAAAATCTAAGTTCACACAGAGTTTTGGCTTGGTTAAAAATCATATTGGCTGACATCTAAAAACAGTAATGATACAAAAATCTCCCCTATTAAACAACAGGCTACAGCATTAGACTGTCAGCCTGTGCCAGTGACTGATATATCTCTCTCAGTAGTCTTTCCACATATATTGAAAATTAAATAATTTCCCTGCTAACTTTATAAATGCTTGACAGTGAAATAATGAAACTTTTTGAGGTATTTTCCATTCCCCCTCAGTAATCACTCTAAACTCCTCACTAGCCTGCAGTAATGGCTTTCAGACTGCTGGTCCTCTTCATGATGTTTGGTACGAACAGCAGTCCAGACGCTCTCTCGATGCTCTCGATGGGAACCAGGAAGCGTTCCAGTGGAATCTTCTCATCGACCGGCATATTGGGCATCACATAGGACCGCAGCTCCACGTCTCCTCTTGGCTTTTCCAGAATCACCACCTTAAAGAAGTGAGTCGGCACGGCTACATGGTTCTTTCCCAAAACCTGATACTTCACATACATTTTCCCATCAGGTTCCTGTCTGTAGGTGCAGGGAGGGAAATATTAGGTTCTATCAATTTATTAAAATATCAGTTGATTAAATAGTTTGGCATATCTTGATTTCAGGCTAATTTGTACGGTGGCCGAGAAGTGCAAAACAAATCACAATTCTGAAAACAAATTACAAACGCAAATGCAAGTCTAAAAAACAAAATAACAATTCAGAAAACACAACAACAATTCAGAAAACACAATGACAAATTCGAAAACAAAATAACAAGTCAGAAAACACAACGACAAATCAGACAAACCAGAAGAGGTAGGTATAGTTTGAGACAGCGCCATTGGTTTGGGATTACTCACCGCTGACTGGACGAGACATCTGTCAATCAACGTATACAGGAAGAACCAGCCGAAGAACAGCAGAGTCGTGGTAGAAAGTTCGGAGATAGTATTAAAGTAGCTCAGTTTAAATGTATTGTATGAATTGCCCTTACTATGGAATAAAAAATACGGGGTGTCTATTTACATTTAGTTAAAAGTGGCTATGAATCATCATCTCCAGATGGATAAGCGTGTGTCATTGGCTTTTTGACGCGATCGACCCGGGTTCGATCCCGTCTTTTCCCAAACTTTTTTTTCCTCCCTTTTCAAGTCTCGTATTAGCAATGGATTCTATTTACACTAAGTGGAAATAGCACTATTTTTAGCAATATGCTATTTACACTAAGTGCAAATACCTTTCAAGTATACTACTTGTTGCAAATAGTGGCAATTATCTGCACTTCACGGCCACCGTAAATTTGAAATATCTCGAGCAGTGCTTCTCAAGAGCATATTGAGAGGCTTTTACCGGGGTAAGTAGAGTGGTCCAGTGCACACAAAGACATTCTGGTAATGCTTGGTGAGTGAGCGACAATATTTCTCCAAGTTATTCCATGCGTTCTGGTTTAGATGAGGATTCTGTTGGGAAAGATATCCGCAATATTAACAGCCATAATTACCCATACAAATAGAAAAATAACGAATAAGCAAACTCTTTAAATGATTGGTGGTTTTATGGATTGTATAAAATAAGGTGCTCATGGAAATCTAGCCTACACTTTTCTTCTTACCTACACAAAGAACTACAAATTTAATGAATGACTTCCTTTTCAATTAATGAGTAAGAATTTGAATACCGCAGAATGAAGAAGAATTTTAATAACCAAAACAAAAACATTTTAAATCATAATTGTTTAGACATTTATATAAATTCAGTAAAAGTTTAATTATTAATAAGAATCAATTATTAATAAATAGACAAAAATAAGTTAAATTCATTGTCATAGGTGACTTTTTAAATTAACTTTCTGATATATTTTTTCCTTATTGATTAGACATATAAATACATTAACTGATAATAAACAAATGATTAATAATTATTAAAAATAAAATAAATGCATTATTATTGGTGGCATTTTAAACAGTGTTTATTAATATATATTTTTTTTTTTTTGATATATAAAACATCTTGATTGACATTGACACTTATATAAATTCAATAATGGTTTAATTATTAATACTAAACAAATTAATAATCAAAAATAATTTAAATACTTTTAAACATTGTAATTTATATTTTTTATAAATTCAGTAGTTTTATTGTTAAAAATAAATGATAAATAAATGATCAAAGTTCAAAGTTTTAATAAATAATAAAAAGTAACAAGAACGTAATAATAAATACTTTATAGGTAGCATTTTAAACATTGATTATTAATATCATATTTTTTTCTTTTTTGATATTTTAAAAATAATTTTCTCTTAATTGATTAGACAGTTATATAAATTCAATAGTTCCAATTATGAATACTGAAGAAATCACTGATAAATGCATATTTAAAAATAAGTTACATATAATACATGGTTATATGTGGCATTTTAAAATAGATTATTAATATCATCTAAGGATAAAACGTCATTTTAATTGTACTTCCTTAACTGCTGTTTGCAGTAAGACTCCAGGAAGAGGATGGAGCAGCTGTTATACAGTGTGAGTTGCTCACCTGTGGTGACACATTGCTCAGGTAGAAGGTGTCATCCATGGCTTTCTGACTCCATTTGTGGTTGGCTGCTGCGGCCAGGTGACCCCTGTCAAACCCACTGCCCTTGTAATCCGCATTGCTCGATCTGTGGTAAACATGAACCGAGTCGTCCTCTTTGAAATCGCAGAACTTTCTGTCCGAAGTCCCGGTTACTGTCTCGGCGTTGAGCTGCTCTATGACCCAGGCTGCGGTCCTGTTTCTGGGGTCGTATGAGGTCACGTAAGACTCTCTGCTCTTGATGCTGGAAAGGGAAGGGAAGCCGTACTTCATCACAGCTGTGGATCTGCTTACAGCGACCTGTCCCGGCTGGTACGGGCTAATCTCTGACGCTGCGTCGACGCTCGGGATCGGGATGACCGGGATGCGGTCCAGCAGTCCGCCGAGGTTTTTGTTAAGGCGATCACCGGTTGCTGTCAAGGTGGCACCGATGCATATGCCAGCTGTCACTGACAGCCCGGATAAAACCCACCGCGAGCAGAAAACACGATGCATCATTCACTCTTAATAAATACAGTTAATTAAATTACATGAATAAAGTGCAGTTATTTGCCCACTGTATTTACATAACCCATGTGAGTCAGTCCCACCGGCTAAACAAGCACACAGGACATTTAGTCGCATGTTGATGACATCACGCTTTTCCCCCCTTAGAAAGGCAGAGCACAGTTTCAGAATTAAAGTTACAGGGTCATTCCTACTGTGCAGTACGTTTTCATGTCGCAAACACTTCTAAATAGTGGATAATATTTAGTTTAATTATTAGTTTTTTTTATTACTATAATAATTAATTTAAATTTTTTTTAGTAATATTAAACTTTGGTTTGAGCTGGTGTACCCCTTTACTCTTCTAAAATGGAAACATATTTTTTCTTTTCCTCTGTTGCAAAAGTTTCTATCAGAAATAGTTTACATTAATTCACTGTTAAATATTTAAATGGGTTTTCCTGTGTCCTAAAATTCACTTTCAATTCTGTTATTGTTATGTGTTATCCTAGTATTTTTTAAGTACTATTGTAGTTTATTCAAATTTAGAATTTTTAGCTTTTAATGTTTTGAGCTTTTACCTTTTATTTTCTGTTTTATTTTATTTTAAAGTTTTAGACCTTTCATTGGTTTTGCCATTTTATTTATTTTTTTTAAATATAGTTTTTATACATACTCATGTTAAAAGTTAGCTTTTTTTTAACTACCAAAAGCTCGTTAAGTTAGATAAGAAATTTAAACAAGCTGAAATAACCTGTTTTGTTCACATTATATATTTACATTTTTATGGTGTTAGTTTCAATGAATCATAATAATTGATGGCGGACCACAATTTAAATGTTTTAAAAGCACAGCAGCTTTTAAATTCATATATGAGGTATTACTTCCCATAAGAAAAAAATTGCTAATTTAATTCAAATGCTAATTCTGTTCTGGGTTTTAATTGAAAATCAATCCCTTTAACTACCAAAAGCTCGTTCCTTCCACTTCTAGGAACTTCTAGGAAGTGACAATATGAACAACAGCTCAATCATTGCTAAGTATTAGCAACAGATTTGATGAATTTTGTGATTTTTTTTTATATTATCACTTTAAAACATTCCATGCTGATTGATAATAATCTAGAAATATCAACACTACAAATTATGCTTTAAAATATTTCTAAATTAACTTCAAATTGACAACTTCATGTAAGCAAACTGTCAATCCCTCACTAGGCAATGGATAACTTTAGCTCTTTATTTCCATCATGTTAGTTTTTTCTGATCAGAGCATATTTCTGAAAGTCTGCTATATAGCCTAAAGTAGGTCTAAAAATGCTTTCATAAATTACAAGGTTATGGAGCTTAAACATAAATGAGCCCACTACATGTGCAATAACCCCAACTGGAATTTCCAGTGCTAATTGCATAATACGTTGTATGTTATACAGCATGCAATCTATTTCTGTGAGTAGTTTGTATTTAACTCTTATTTATTAGTTTCCAGAAAGCAAAAGTCTCCACCTTGCATAAGCTCTGCTGACTCAAGTTGTGTGTTATTAAGGGTATATATATTTATTTCAGTGCAGGTGGTTAGAGCAATGCAAACGGCTCAGCACATTTGATTCTGGGTCTGTAGACATATATACAGCTGATTCACCTTGTGAAACTTTCTAAGGAATAAAAATGGCCTGATATTAATTACCCTTATTAGAGCTGCCGTGACTGTTGTGCCGGTGTAATGCTGCAACTGTAAAGCTTTCATATGAATATAGAAGGACAGAGTCTAAAGAAAGAAAATTCACTCACGTCTCTTTGTGCTTTCTGATTGTCAGGTTTTATTCATTTATAATATTTATTGATAGTATTTTATTTACCCTGGCTCATCATGAATGTAAAGCATTTGTAAATATGAAATACATCAAAAAGCCCATGAGCCACTAAAGATTTTGGCATTTCTTTGAGACTCGCGCAAGGAAAATAAAATTATTTGAAAAATAACCTGATTGCATGATATACAGTGTGCTGAATTTTTAATTGTTAATCTGAATGGCCATTCTAATTGTGTTGCTTGACGATGCATTTTTCTTTTTCTTTCGGTGCTTCATAATTATCTAGTATTTATTTGGGGTTTGTGGGACTTTGTGCTTTAGGAATGTACTTATCATCCTGTGTTAATAAGCAGTCCTGAATGGTCATATCTGCACTGATGAATGCATGCCAGTAACAAGATGATGTGCAGGTTACATTGAGCTAAAGCTGTGCATGTAATGAACCATTTATACTTTATTTAATGATATGAATGGAGAAATATTCCAAATATATTAGAGATGCACTCTGATGTATCATCAAATATAGTTTTACCATGGTGTGAATACCATATGCACTGCAATAAAGGCTGCAATGTCTTTACAGTGGTAACATTTACTCAACAAAAATAACAATTTCTACAAAAAATATTGAAATAATAATAATCATAATATACAATACTTCATATTTCCTTTCAGGTAGACTGATATATGTATATTTGTTCAGTGTGACAATTTAAAACCTCTTTCTACATTCCATAAACATAATCTCAAACACAAGCTATAGAGACATTCATTCGGCGATTAAACATCTTTTCCATCGGTTTCATCTACTTGTTACAACCTCAATGGCAATAAAATGCGAGAAAAATGCAGCAATGAAAGGAAATGTAAAAACAAGTCTTCAAGAGAAGAAGAATAACTTGGCATAAGTAGGCTTCCGTGATATCGACCGTTTGTTGTTCGTTAAAACAAGCTGGCTAAGTGCAGTGCTTGTACCTCGGTGAGCGCCGAAACTACAGAGAAAGTAGAAATGCAAAGGAAATGAAACCACATCTATATATTTCTCTACTTTCTGTAGAGTTTTGTGTAGAGTGAGCTGAAACTGAACTTAAGTTGTTTTTATTCTGTTTTTGGTATAAAGTTCAGGCGATCAGTGATGCTAGTAGACGAGAAATAAACTGCTCGTCTCGTGAAGGCGTTTTGACCTCAGAGCAGCCGCCGCCATTTCCAAAAAAGATTTCTGCACCGTGAGGCTGGGTCCGTACGGGTTCAGGCCACTCTCTCTCCGTCCGCAGGGTTCAGCCCTTTGGCCTGCGTAGACTAGGATCGATATCAGGACTAAGATGGGTTTCTAGGCGCTGGCTTTAAGCAGGCTGTTGGCTAGAAGGCAGAGCAGCAGCGTCAGTGTGCTGAGGTAGCAGGCCGATGCGCCGTCGCACCCTTTCTCACCCTGGCAGCGTGGCTGCTCGCACAAAACGCCCCTAAAGCTGGGCGGACACACGCACTTCTGGTTCTGGATGCAGGAGCCGCCATTCTGACACAGGAGGAGCTCGTCGTCACACACGTTTGCTGGGAAGAAGGACAGAGGTTGAGATTCTCATTAATGATGTTACATGTCTCTAAACATAAAGATGATCTAAGTAATCATTTGCCAGGTGCCCTTCTAACACTACTCACAGATCTGCAGATAGATCATGTTTTAAGGGATTGTTCTGTTGTCTTAAAGTTAGGTTACATTTTTCCATCCTAAACGTCAGTATTCATTTAGCTGATATCTTTTACTCAGAGTGATTTAAGGTGTTCACATTGACAGTTAACTGGAAGGGATTCATTTTCAGTGAGAGGGACCAAAGGTCATCTATGTTTTGTTTGGTTTTTTTGGGTTTTTTTGGTGAACTTGTGGGCCAACTGTCTGTAAACTAATATATGTACACCGCTGTTCAAAAGTTTAAGGTTGGTAAGATTTTACAAATATTTTTGAAAGAAGTCTTTTATGCTCACCAAGCATTTATTTGTTCAAAAAATTATTAAAATTTCAAATAAACTTTAAGTATAATTTGTTCAGTGTCACATGATCCTTCAGAAATCATTCTAATAAGATTTGCTAAACAAGATTTCTCTTTATTATTAATACTGAAAACAGTTGTGCTGCTTAATATTTTTGTTGAAACTGTGATACATTTCTTTTCCAGGATTCTTTGATGTAACGAAAGCTCAAAAGAACAGCATTTATTAGAAATTGTCTTTTTTTTTTTTGTAGTAGTAATGTGAAAATCTTTTACATCAGTTTAATGCATTGCTGGGTTATACTTTGTTTTAAGGTTTTCTTGTTACAGTGTAATTATACATTTAAGTACTGAGTAATATTAATTAACTATATGTACTTACTGTATGGTTACGATTAGGGTTTGGCCTAGGGTTACTTGCATGTAATTATGCATAATTTATTGTTATTATAATAGAAAGTACATGTAACGTGTAACAAGGAAGTGTTACCCATTGCTGAATAAAAGTATTAATAAAAAAATCTGAATTTTAGAAAATAAATAATAGATAATAATAATCAGTGTATAAAATCCCATTAAATATTTAATTATAATTAGTTTATTATTAGAAATGAATGAATGAAACTGCACCTCACAGTAAATTGAGTTAGAATTTAAAAAGCAGCAGGCAAAAAATCTAGTAATTTATTATTTCAAGGTTTATACAATGCCTGCATGAAAACCAGGTCTAATTAGAGCAGAGACGATAATGATGACCTGTGAACGATTATAATTTGTGATCCAGCAATAATGATGGAAATCTACAGACCTCCACCAGTCTTTTGGAGACTGGGCATTAGAATCCCATATACACATTATTTTCAGATAATTTAGTATAAAGTGTTAATCTAAAAAAAACGCTTTCCTGAGTGCCTGAAGAACTGGGAGCTGTCACTGTCACAATCAAGTGTATATTTGTAAACAGTAATTTCGGTAGTGGTGAGTTGTGATAAGCTGGTGTAGGTTTTGGGCTGCTTTTTAGTCCTTGGCTGACAGTGTTTCATTATACAACCAATTCTTTGCTAGGTTTGAACCATCAGCCTTCTTCTTACCCTGCCTCACTGCTTTAGCCACTGTATCACCCCACCCACAAGTATCTATAATGCACAACTGCTGCAAACAGCAGGTTGTTATTGGTAGTACAACAGCAAAGACCTCTGTGAGTAACAACAATGTTGCTCATATGTTTGAGTGAAATGACACCCATATGTTGTTCGTTCACAGCACTTTATTTGTTGTATGAGTGGTATCATCCATCACAGAATGTGTCTTTAATGACTAAGCCTGTGTTTAATGCCTTTGTGAAGGAAGTGTG